TAAAAAATTCTCACGCCTTTGTTTTTGATCAGATCGACTTGAATTCTTCAAGATGCCGTTTTCTAACTGTTATTGAATTTCAGATAAAATTTTAATAAAATCGGATAACTCTATCATATAGCTGCCATAGAAGAGATCGAAAAATATATATAGAATTAATGGAAATAAATTGATAACATCGTTGTTTTTTATCCCACGAGCATGATTTTTTGAATATCAAGTTTTTTAACAATTCTTATACTGAGAAAAAGTTTCATAAAAATCGGACAACTATATCTTATAGCTGCCATAGAAAAGATCGAAAAATCTATATAGAAATAACAGAAATACAATGATAACATCGTTGTTTTTCATCAGACAAGTATGATTTTTGGAATATAGAGTTTTCTTACGACTCTTGAATTACGAATTAAATTTGATCAAAATCGGACAAAACTGATCAAAACTGAACAATAGTCAAAAATATGGAAAACTAATAGAAAAGTCGTCGTAGCTTCGATGTTGCTTAGCCTTTGTGTATTCTGTTCGAAATATTTGATGACTGCAAGGGTATATAAGCTTCGGCTTGCCGAAGCTAGCTTCCTTTCTTGTTTTTGTGTATGTTCTCCAGCCCTTGAAAGTGAAAAGTGCGATTTTAACCTAAAAAAGATCGCTTTTAATTCATTATTTCAAAAAATATAAAAACAAGAAAGGAAGTTAGCTTCGGCAAACCCGAAGCTTATATACCCTTGCAGTCATCAAATATGTCGATCAAAATGCATAAGGGCTAAGCAACATTGAAACTATGACGATTTTTCTTTTACTTTTCCATATTTTCGACTATTGTTCGTATGGCAGCTATACGATATATGTAGTTGTCCGATTTTGATGAAATTTAATATGCAATTCAAGAGCAGTTAGAAAACTCTATATTCCAAAAATTATGCTTGTCTGATGAAAAACAACAATTTTATAGTTTTATTTCCCTTATTTCTATATAGATTTTTCGATCTTTACTATGGCCGCTATATGATAACGTTGTCGGATTTTAATGAAATTTTTTTCTCGATGCAAGGGTTATTAAAAAACTCCATGTTTTGAAAATCATGCTCGTGGGATTAAAAACAACGACGTTATAATTTTTTTTCATTATTTATAAATATATTTTTTGATCTTTTGTATGGCAGCTATATGGTAGAGTTATCTGATTTTGATAAAATTTTATACAAAATTCAAAAGTGGCTAGAAAACGCCATCTAGAAGAAATCAAGTCGATCTGATCAAAAACAACGACGTTAGAATTTTATATTTCAATCTCTTGTATGGGAGCTATCCTATATAGTTGCCCGATCCGGCCCGTTCCGACTTATATACTGCGTGCAATAACTACACACCTTTTGGGAAAGTTTCAGCAAGATAGCTTTAAAACTGAGAAACTAGTTTGGGCAGAAACGGACAGACGGACAGACGTATAGACGTAGTTCGATTCAGATCGTGAAGCTGATCAAGAATATATATACTTTATGGGGTCTGAGGTGTCTCCTTCACTGCGTTGCAAACTTCTGGCCAAAATTATAATACCCTTTGCTCTGCAAGGGTATAAAAATTAAAAAAAATCCTCCTAATGTTCACCGACTTTCACAATAACGTTTTCGGAAAATCGATTTAAAGTTTTTTTATAAGTCAAAATTTGGTTTGGTTTGATTTAAAACTCTGTAACTCCGTAAATTTGACTCTAATTGTCTTAAAATGTTTACACAATGTTCTGAACATATTGGTCTTTTAGGAAACAAGAAAGGAAGCTAGCTTCGGCAAGCCGAAGCTTATATACTCTTGCAGTCATAAAATATGTCGAACAAAATGCATAAAGGCTAAACAACATCGAACCTATGACGATTTTTCTATTAATTTTCCATATTTTCGACTATAGATCATATGGGAGCTATATGATATAATTGTCCGATTTTGATCAAATTTAACTTGTAATTCAAGAGTCGTAAGACAAGTATATATACCGAAAAAGTCAAACTTGTCTGATGAAAAACAACGATGTTATAATTTTATTTCCGTTATTTCTATATAGATTTTTCGATCTTTCCTATGGCAGCTATGAGATATAGTTATCCGATTTTTATGAAACTTTTTTCTCAATATAAGGGTTGTTAAAAAACTGGATATTCAAAAAATCATGCTCGTGGGATAAAAAACAACGATGTTATCAATTTATTTCCATTAATTCTATATATAATTTTTGATCTCTCCTATGCCAGCTATATGATAGAGTTATCCGATTTTGATCAAATTTAATCCGAAATTCAATAACAGTTAGAAAACGCCATCTTGAAGAATTGAAGTCGATCTGATGAAAAACAACGGCGTGAGAATTTTTCATTTCATTCCCTCGTATGGGAGCTATCCGATATAGTCGGCCGATCCGGCTCGTTCCGACTTATATACTGCGTGCAATAACTACACACCTTTTGGGAAAGTTTCAGCAAGATAGCTTTAAAACTGAGAGACAAGTTTGAAGAGAAACAGACAGACGGACAGGCGGACAGACGTACATACATATTTCGATTCAAATGGTGATCCTGATCAAGAATATATATACTTTATGGGGTCTAAGGTGTCTCCTTCACTGCGTTGCAAACTTCTGACTGAAATTATAATACCCTTTTGCTCTGCAAGGGTATAAAAAAACCAAAAAAATACTTTTAACCTTTTATAATTATAATTTTATTTAGGTTTATTCTATTATTAGGGGACGGTGGCCCAGCAGGTAGAGCGCTGGCCTCCGGTCCGGAAGGCCCGGGTTCAAGTCGAGCCTCAGGCTCCCCGAGAAAAAGAAACGGTCTCTTTTTCCAAATCTCCACCACTTCTATGCTCTATCGCTCACTTAACATTAGTAACAAATTTCGGCTCCCCGGACCCGCACACCCCCTCGTCCACGTTACTATGGACCCATCAATAGAATTTTCGTCACTCCTAGATGGCGCCAGGTGGTTACCCCACCGCTAGGATAAGTCGCTACTGGCTTATCACCGGTACGATCGAAAATCAATGATAATGAATCCTCTACAAGAAATTGTAGGGGCTCTAAGCTCCCGGGTGGAGTAACAGAATGTAAATTTTTTTTTTTTTTTTTTTTTTATTCTACATAGATATTTTGATCTTTCCTATGGCAGCTATATTTTAGAGTAGTCCGATTTCTATGGAATTTTTTTTCTCGATTGAAGGGTAGTAAAAAAAAATCGATGTTCCAAAAATCATGTCCTTGGGATAAAAATCAATATATCAATATATGTATTTCTCAAATTCCTAATAAATTAATTGAATTTTCAAAATAGTCCCATATCCAGATAAACTAGGAACTATTTTAACAGAGGATACATTTAATAAATTGTATATTCATGAAGGAAAAGTTTTCTTCGAGGAAACAAAGGAGGAAATGTATAATAGGCATCATTAAGCAAAACAGAAACGAAATGTAGATACACGATTTTATTATTTATTATTTTTTGAGTTAATTGTTATAAAAGAAAATTCCGCCAATTTTCAGTTTTTAGCTTATGCATTGATACATATGTTATATTATTTTTTTGAAGTTTTATAACATTTACCTCAATAAATAATATAGCATATGTATCAATGCAAAAGTGCGCGCCAATTTTTCTAAAAAAAAAATTTTCCAGTGTAATGGCCGCACTTAGCCGACATTTAAGGCTCGATATCTCGTAAACGGTGCGAGATATCGAAAAATTTTGTTTATTAAAAAGTGTTCATTTTCGGCCAATTACCCAAAATCTTGGCCCGGAAACTAAAATCGTGCCAAACACTTTTTAATAAGTCTTAAATGTCGGCTGATAGTGCGGCCGTTACACGTCACGGCGGGCGAGATACGGGCGAAAAAAATTACTGAATTTTTTTTTTTTTTTTTTTTTTAGAAAAATTACTGGGAAATTTTTTTTTTAATTAATGAAATTTTTTTGTTTTTTAAGAAAAATTGACGGATTTTTTTGTTAATAAAAATTACCTCAAAAAATAATGTAGCATATGTATCAATGATAAGTGCGCGCGCACTAACGTATATACATATGTATATATATGTAGATAATTTGTACTTTATTGGGTCCGAGGTGTCTGCTCCACAGCTTTGCAAGCTACTGAGCAAAACTACGCTGTTTTTAAACCCAAGTTTATAACTCGAGATTTAGTATATTAAGGCCACTTTAATGTTTACATTTTTTGTGTTTATCAGAAGTCTAAAAAAGAAAAGATTGGAATTTTAATGGGAGTCCGCGAAAAACTGTTTTTTTTATGATGGTATTAGTATTTTAGTTTAAAAAATTGTATTTCTATCGATTTTAGTTAAAACTTGTAAAGTGCGTTAGCCAGGACGTGTCGAACTCAAATTCCTTAAACCTAGCAATATTCATATGCATATGTTTGTATGTGCAGATATTTGCATACTTTAATATACATATGTATGTAGGATCCTTTTATAAGGTTATAATCTTTATGTCTTTTGTTTGGCTATAAGTAGAATGAATAAAAAACTAAAAAATTAACCGAGAAATGTTTGTTTCTTTTTCACACGTAGTAAGGCAGCCACTCTTGTTCATTCATTCTTTTTTGAAGTGTAAGTTGTAAGCAGTTGCTTTTTGAAGAAAAACCACACCCGCTTTGGTGTACATATGTACATAAATAGAAAATAACTGTGGACAGCAATGTTTTATACGGTTGAAGCTGTTTTGCAAAACGTATAACACATAAACAAAATAAATTTATATAATTTTTAAACTTTTTCTAAACCTCTATTTTTTAGGATGATATTTGTTTAAGTCATGCTTCTGTATTGATTTTTCAAACTTTTATATGAGTAACATTAACAATAAGCTCTTCTTCGAAGATAAAATTTCAATAGGTATTAATTTAGAGCCAAGACAACTCTAAGCATAAAACCTTTTTGTAGGACCCAGAACTTTACAACAATTGTACATATTGCGTGCAATTTCACATACCCAAAAGATGTAGATACACGTTATTTTTCTTGCATATGATAAGTTACACATTCACTACACTTTGAAAATCATGTTGCGCGTCCAATAGTAAAACAAAATGGTTTTGCAATGTTTTGCTTTTATTCAAATACAACAAAAGATCCAGTTAGCTATAAAAAAAAAACTAGTTTAAGTACGGTTTTTTACGAGAGAGACCATTTATACTATTCATTAAATCAGGGATAAGGTATTCACACTAAGTCAAACATTTAGAAACGTTAACTGTCCTGTTGAAACTACTTTTAAGTTTCGGGTTGTTGACATTGTTTTTAAAGGGCTTGGCATTGTGGTTTAGAGATGGGAAAATAAATTTATAGTGTGTTTCCACAGAACACCATCCAATTTGCTGAACTGTCCCATAAGGTTCCTATTTTCCAAAACGTATATAATAAGTTTGGGAAATTTATTTTAAGAAGTATATGATTTTGATACATTAAAATAAGTTTAAGTTTAAGTAACCAAGTTGTTCATGCGTCAGGGACGCATCAACGTCTTGAATCATTTTCATACAGGGCCGTAACTAGAGCCTCAGGGGCTTTGAGGCAATGAGTAAATTTGGGGCACCCCATACGGAAATCTTTGGTAATACTTCGGAATTTTGACTCCAGCTATATCTCAGCCCCAAAAAAACTTGGGAACCAAATCAAGGGTTTTTTCGTAAGATAATAATAGGAGGGGCAGAAGGTTTTTTACCTTGGAAAAAGGAAATTTCCTCGGAAAATCAACGGAAAACTCTTAGATGCACGTCATGCATTTCCGCGCGACATATTTTGGGTAATTGGCCCAAAATAAACACTTTTTAATAAAAACAATTTTTCGATTTCTCGCACCGTTTACGAGATATCGAGCCTTAAATTTCCGATAATAGTGAGGGCTGGTAGCGGGCGATGCAACGCATGACGTGCATGTAAGAGTTTTCCGCCGATTTTGCGAGGAAATTTCCATTTTCCAAGGTAAAAAACCTTCTGCCCCTCTTAAGGGGGTTATTATCTTATGAAAAAACCCTTGATTTGATTTGCAGCTTTTTTTGGGGCTTAAATATAGCTGGAGTCAAAATTCCGAAGTATTACCAAATCTTTTTTCAAACTTCTCACACATTTCCATCGCAATTACTCTTGTTGAGGTTAGCGTAAAGGAAAAAAATTAGTCCGATTGTCAGTGTAAAACAACAACTATTTATTGCTTGTATCAAGTTTCTGACACTTCATGTCAAAGTCGCAACGGCGCGTCCTAAAGCCTTTGACAGATTAAGACTTTTTCAGGACTAAAAAATGGCTAACAATAAAGGGCTCCGGCGGTGCCCACTCCTCTCGGGGGCTCTGGGGCACCACTCCACCCATGCTAGCTACGGCCTTTTTTCCATAGAATAATCATCGATGATTGTACCAGACTTTTACTAACTATAAAAAATCATAATTATCCAACAACACTTAAATTTTGCTATTCAAGAATTGCATCAATACATAGTTTTTGGTTTCAATGTAAGATGTTTTTAATGAATCGATGAGTTTGGAACTGCAAGGTTCCAGCAACTGTTAGAGAATAAAGATTTTTTTAAATCTTTGGAAACCACTCTACCAACAGCAAAATTTCAGAGAAGAATAAATTAGTTGTAAATACAGTAGAATCCTGTTATAATGACTCCGTTTATAGTGTCCGTCCGGGTATTGCGACGAAAACTCGATGGCTTGATTGGTCCCCAGACAGACTTATACACTTAAATCCTTCTGCTTAGTGCGTCTTCCGGGTATAACGACGAAAAGCGTCGGTCTCTTGAAAGTCGCTATAAGCGGATTCTACTGTATATTATTTATAGATAAAAAAAAATACGATGATTATCCTAGTTGGTTTTGTAAATTTATCAAAGAATTTATGCCTTTCCAGCTGGCACCATTTCGGTAAAAATTAAATGCGTTATTTGATCGACGAGCCGAGAATTTTTATTAAAGCCGTTAGATTCAATGCTCAAAAAACTACCAACTACAGTCGAATCCCGATAATTCGTACCCCGCTAAATCGAAAATCGCGATAATTCGTAAAAAAAAATTCTGTTCCCTTGAAAAAAATCCCTTGAAAAAATCTCGATAAATCGAATTCCCGTCTAATTCGTAAAAAAAAGTGATCCCCTTTCCATTTCGAATTATCGGGACATTGGACGGGAATTCTATTTATCGAGATTTTTTTCAAGGGAACAGAATTTTTTACGAATTATCGCGACATTCGATTTAGCGGGGTACGAATTATCGGGATACGACTGTACAATAAAAAATAACACCAAAATTGACAAAATGGTGGCGTTTAAAAAAAATCCAATTTTTCCCAAAATTTTGGTCGTTTTAGGACTGCCAAAATTCGATTTTTATTCAAATCAAAAAATCGATAGTTCATTGTACGGAGAACTATGTATATGTAGAAAATGTAAAAAAAATTTGATAGTGATCGGATCATTAGCTTTTGAGTAATGACCGCAGCAAATTCGGAAAATGGTGTTTTCAGAAAAACGCGTTTAAAGATAAAATGATCGTTTGCGCTGTTATAAGAGCGGCAGCTGTTTGAATTGCTATAACTCAAAAACTATTAGAGATATCGTTTTTGAAATTTTAATATGTTATTTTTAAAGGTATAATCTACCGAAACATGCAAAAAAATTTTTTTGATTTTTTTTTTTCAAATTTTACACTAGTTGTGCCCCTTAAGAGACCTTATCGCGAGATCAAGTGAAAATCTGGTGAAGCTAACGTATTAGAAGATGCCTTGCATCAGGCATTGGTTGAATAATTCAAATCATTTCTACAGCAAAAGTCCATAAAGCTGGGGGCAGGACGTCGTTGGCGTCCGCTGCGGTGGTTTTTGCTTCGGGTCAGTGACAATCAAAATATAATATACTCCTGCTTCCATTGTCCACTGCTGTTGGGTAGACTTTAGGTGTTGTCAGAAGTTAACTATGGAAAGAAGAGCCTTTGATTTTGGGCTTGACGGTAGACAGGAGAGGTCCACCAATCGGAAAGTGGCATATCGGCCGATTTCTCTATCATGGCACACAGCGGCCATGCTAATGCAGGCTTTAATTTTTTTTTAGAACCATGCAAAGCACTTTGTAGCGTTTTTTCCTGTGGCTACCGGTCTCCCTAAGGCCTCCCATATGGGGTGCTCCAGGAATCATAGATTCTTTTCAGCTTGCAACAAATTATGCGCAGAAAAGTAGCAGCGCCAACAAAAGATCTTCCGTTATCGCAATAAATTTGCCGTGGACACCTTCGTCCCCATGCGAACAGTAATACAGTCGAGTCCCGATAATTCGAAATGGCAAGGGGATCACTTTTTTTACGAATTGGACGGGAATTCGATTTATCAAGGAAACAGAATTTTTTACGAATTATCGCGATATTCGATTTAGCGGGGTACGAATTATCGGGATTCGACTGTATATACATATCCATTTGTGATAAAATATGCTCTCCCAGAAAAGTTTTTTATATGGTGGCGATGTAGCGTTATTTGGTGTGTGAATTGCGTACGCACCCGTGACAACTTTCACATTATTGAACAAGCACTGTGTGCCAGTCATCACATTAAAGTCTTTCGGTAGTAGTTACGCTGCCACACGACCTGTGTTGGCTGAAGAAAGTTTTTGATTTTTTAATGGTGTTAGAATTGAATTGAATATAATATAATATAAGTTATTATTGAAGTTGAATTTTGATGTCTAGTGAAAGTTAGTTTAGAGCAATAAAGCTCTCTTCTCTTTCGCTCTCTGTGAGTTCGCCCCATCTTCGCCAACCTTTGTTAGGCTTTGTGAAAAAGAGAAAAATATAATCGTTGAAAGTGAATCAGATCGAGAGCACGTACATTTTTCGTTTTCGCCAAATGAAGTAAATTAATTACAGTAGAATCCGGTTATAACGACTTCCAAGGGACCGACCATTTTTCGTCGTTATAACCGGAAGACGCACTAAGCAAAAGGAGGAATAAATTTTTTTTTTTGATTATTTTATGGTTGCTGTGTTTTTTATAGGTTTTTAAAATAAATCAAATTAATTTTTTAATTAAAACGAAAAATTTAATAAATTAAATTCAAAAACATAGGTTTTTCTAAATACTGAAAACTGAATGAGCTTATTATTGCACATATTGCATTTGGCAAATTGAAACATTCAGTTTTACTCGGAAAAAAGCAGAAAAAACTAGAAATATAACGGGACATCTCATGAAATTGACTATGAGGTCTGCACACACAGTGTGACGTCGGCATTGCACTTCGACTCTCTCTCTCTCGCAGCAGCGTTGTTAAGGCAACAGCTAAAACTAACAGAGAGTTGTGCCAGTGCAAGATCCTTCGTGTCGCTGCTACGCACACAAGCAAGGGTGCCGATCACTGACGTGCATGTAAGAGTTTTTCGCCGATTTTGCGAGGAAATTTCCATTTTCCAAGGTAAAAAACCTTCTGCCCCTCTTAAGGGGGTTATTATCTTATGAAAAAACCCTTGATTTGATTTGCAGCTTTTTTTGGGGCTTAAATATAGCTGGAGTCAAAATTCCGAAGTATTACCAAATCTTTTTTCAAACTTCTCACACATTTCCATCGCAATTACTCTTGTTGAGGTTAGCGTAAAGGAAAAAAAATTAGTCCGATTGTCAGTGTAAAACAACAACTATTTATTGCTTGTATCAAGTTTCTGACACTTCATGTCAAAGTCGCAACGGCGCGTCCTAAAGCCTTTGGCAGATTAAGACTTTTTCAGGACTAAAAAATGGCTAACAATAAAGGGCTCCGGCGGTGCCCACTCCTCTCGGGGGCTCTGGGGCACCACTCCACCCATGCTAGCTACGGCCTTTTTTCCATAGAATAATCATCGATGATTGTACCAGACTTTTACTAACTATAAAAAATCATAATTATCCAACAACACTTAAATTTTGCTATTCAAGAATTGCATCAATACATAGTTTTTGGTTTCAATGTAAGATGTTTTTAATGAATCGATGAGTTTGGAACTGCAAGGTTCCAGCAACTGTTAGAGAATAAAGATTTTTTTAAATCTTTGGAAACCACTCTACCAACAGCAAAATTTCAGAGAAGAATAAATTAGTTGTAAATACAGTAGAATCCTGTTATAATGACTCCGTTTATAGTGTCCGTCCGGGTATTGCGACGAAAACTCGATGGCTTGATTGGTCCCCAGACAGACCTATACACTTAAATCCTTCTGCTTAGTGCGTCTTCCCGGTATA